TTTTTTTTTTATATCTTGAATTTATTAAAAAAAATTCGGTGAATGTGCAAATTAACTGGTTGGGTTCGGTACCTGTCAAAAGGTTAAGAACCACTGTGACTCTAATGCAAGTGAACCAGCCATCACCACTGGCATCTCCGGCGTTCATGACATTAGCGACGAGCGGTAATCAACTTGCAAAGGGGGAGTATGTGCCTTTCAGCCTGCGTTGGACTGTCTTTTCTGTCTCTTGAGCGTCTCTTCGTCTTTATGCAAATTAGCTCCACCTCTACGTAACAGCAAGCGGAAGTGCAGAACGGCTAGCGCACTTTCAGCAATATGCAGGTGAGAAAAGATTTACTTATTGGTTAATTTCACACCGGATAGATGGGCTGGCACTCTTGAGACTCAACTATTTGGACACACACACACACAAACACATGCGCGCATGAAATCAGTTTTGCATGTTGTGCCCGCATTAACCATTCGTACTCTGGCCTTGTTGTGATATTCATAAATTATTGACCAATATAAATTGGTAAAACTGACTTCCTCTCTTTGGCAATTTTAATGGCTCAAAAACCACGACATTTTTTTAGGGGGGTTCCGAGTAAGTGATGGTTTAGGAGAGTCAAAGTTTCCATCCAATGTCAGCAATCGGTATTTCTGGAAATAGAGCTTATGATTCGAGAAGCACTGTTTTTTGACAGTTCAATTCAAACTGGTTATCGAGTGTGGTGGGAAATCAAGACAGAGAGGCACATTGGGGTGGACGACATGCTGCAATTTAAAACATACAGTTCTTTGCAACTGCACGAGATCGTGGTGAAGGCCAACCGCATTTTGGACATGTCTGAGATTCAGCAAAACCTCACATGACAGATGAGGGGCGACTTTCGAGAAGCATGGTACGAAACAGCAGGCTTCTCACTCAAAGGATCGATAAATCGTCAAAGAAAAACTACCGCATTGGGTTAAAAATACTGAGCGGCAGTTTACCTTTCCTTCCAATTTCTGGATGATCTTCTTGCCACCTTTTAGTGCCATTTGCTCCGCCTCCTCCAGCTTGGCGCTCATGTCTTTCACCTGAGCCTCGAGACCTTTCTTCACCTTCTCCAGATGGATGGTGTGCTCTTGCTCCAGGCGTAGCTCCTCCCCCACTCTGGCCAACTATCGACAATCAGCAGCTTATTGATCGCATCGCTTCACGGGTTCCTGTGGTGTGTGCGTTTTTACCTCGCAGCTGGCCTTCTTGGATTTGTCGATTGATCCTCTCAGCTCTCCTTGGAGCTCATCATGCTCATGCTGAAGAGCTTGGATATCCACTTCCAGCTTCCTCCTCCCACTCAGAACCGACTGGAACTAAAAAAAAAAAA